AGGTAGTCGAGCCAGAAAAACTTTTCTGAGCCCTTTTTGGAAAAGAAGGCAGAAAAGAAAAAACAACTATCCACGGCTGAAAACATGCACCTCGACAAATTATTTACAGCATTTTGATTAATAGGAAAGAAGCCCCATATTAGTCTCCAACCTCTCTCTTGTTTTAACCTCGGCCGTGATGAGTTCTTTGTGCTCATAATATTCTTAAAACATGCGAGGTTTCTAGGCGGAACAATTCACTGAGTTAACGGTCTAACGTTTCGACGCAATCGTCTTCCTCGAAGGCCTAAATGCAACTCGAGACCATTCGAGGAATATTTAAAAAGTGCATGATTCCCTTTGGCAAACGTGAGGACGTATTTAAAGCTCATAATGTGAAGCCTGAATCACCGAGGTTCCACAGGTCAAGGGTGAAAAAATCCGGACGCTTCTTGCTGTCTCCTTTAGACTTAAAATGAGGAAGATCACGTCATAATGCTACTAAATCACAACTCGCAAAGCGGTACCAAACCCACCCCAATCGTTCAAAAAAAAACACGAAGAAAACGCGTTTTCTGTATCTACCCAAGTACTTTCTTATATAGTGTGCGATAAGGTTGAACTCAGCTCCTCGAGCTCTACAGAATGGTTTATTCGGAACTTTACAAACTTCGGTTTCGAAGTCCTAAGTCTATCAACATTGCTGAGGGCACGTCATTAGCAACGCTCGCTATAATTACAATCAGAAGGCATTTGCTTCTATTGAAAATGGTAAGTGAGTTGTGAAGCAACCATCTTGTTTCAAATCCAAACAAAATCGTTGGTCATAGACGGCGACTCATCTCTACCGTTCATTTTCGGATTTTTCTAAGAATCCGGAGCGCCTCCAATGCATTTCCCGTTAGATTCTCCTCCCCTGCAGATATATCATATCGTATACTATATATCATGCACTTTACTTCGGAGTTGTTGCCGTTGTGCGTCTCAATTTCATGCCCACTAAGCACCGTTATCAGGCTGCCGCGCCTTATACTAGCCAGAGGCTCTTCAATTCGTGTAGCCACTTGTCTACCCGCTTCTCCGACGTATGCTGACCCCCTCCCCCGGCATTCCATCTCGTAGGTTGCGTCTATCAGTGCGCAATCATCTGTTTTTTTTTNTTTTTTTTTCCATGGAGATATATGATGCAATCGTTCGTTACGCAAGGCTCATCGTAGAGCCTGTCTCGAACCAATGGCTGCGTGGTGTTCTTATTAGGGATACCCACTAATTGTATAACAACTAGCATCCCAGCTCTGAAATGGTTTCGCTGTGTAGCATTGCTAGCTTTCTCGGAGACAAAGGAAGATATTGTGGTATAATAGCTAATCGGGGCATAGCTCCATGCTACTGATCCGACTTTTTTTACAACCTTGTGACACCGTATCTCAGTTCACAGCAACTATTCCTAAGGCTAAACTTCATGATCCGAGACGTTCTGCCTTGCATGTACAGACACTATTTGGTGTTCTCAACATGACGCCGACACGTTTAACGTTTAACTACACCTTAACCGGCGTCTGGATGAGCTGATGCAGTGTGAAGTAAGATTTTCTTGGAATTAGCTTTACGGTGCCTTTTCAAACTAACCCCAATGGATACATTGGCTTAGGCGTTGAGGTAGGGAAGCCAAAAATCAAGTTGTACTTCTCAGGCAAGTTTTATGCACTGTGACTGACATTCATGATACGAAAACTCTTACCCACTTCGAACTGCGTTGACGTTACGATGAAACAGTCATCTACATATCTGCATTACATTGAAAGATTTCGTTTCAAAATTGATCTTTAGTTCTACCCATAATGCACACAGCAAGAACCGATGCTAGCTGTTGTCCCATAGCAGAATTTCTGACGTGAGTAGAGTACATCCCCCATTTGAAGATATTACTGATTCAGCACTCCTTGACGAACGTCACTATGTGCATTTTACTGCATTCCTTGACGAACGTCTCAATGTCATTTTAATAAGTCTGAAGGTACATACAGTAACGCTCAAAGGTCTTCGGCCACATGCTTCTTCAGCCGCACTTTTCAGTCGTAACTCCTTTCCTACAGAATGTAATCATGTGAAATTTCGATATGTGTAGCATGGGCGTATTGTGAATATTTATTATTAGTAACCTGCAATCTGACGATGTTCCAATTCCTAACAGCTTGAATTCAAAATCAATTGGAAATACAGACGCGGGTCTCTTTCCTTTTCGCGGTGTCTTAAGTGTACGAGCACCAATGTCCTTTACAGAAGAGAACCAAAACGCACCCAAGGTGCGAATAACTGCAGACGTCAATAACTTTGATTTTAGCGAAATATGCTCTCGCAACAAACACCTTACTCTAGTCATGTGGATATTGCTACTTCACAGTCAAGTAGTGCTGGATAGTGTGAAATATGCTTTAGCTATACTTACCAAAATTTCGCGCGATCCGCTCCACTAAGAGAAAAGTTATGAACGAAAAAGCGTAAAAGCGTTTGGCCGAAGACTCTTACGCGCTACTATATATTATAAGCACGACTTCTAGCATTTCAGATCATGCTTGTTGGGCGTACCCATTTTGGACATTAGTACAAACGTCGAGTGACTTGATTACATTACTCCGCTCGAGGTCTGAGCCATGTAGTAGTTCAAGAAAATGCTTAGAACTGGGCAGGTGAGATGGAAGCGCAGTTAACAGCTGGCTTATAATATTACCAGTCGGATCGCCCAGCTAACGCCGGGCTCTCCTCCTTCGTATGAAATGCCCGGCTACGCCGGGCATCCTCCTTTTTATATAAAGTCGGATCGCTGGCTAACGCCAGGCTATCCACCTTGTTGTGTCAAACACCCCATCCCGAGAAATGTTGAACTGAAGAATTTTTTCCCTTTTTCAAAGTTAATAAATTTTAAGTTTTTTTCCGTTGTTCAGCTAAATTTAAGTTCTTCCGGTGTTCAGCTGAGTTAGAGTATGGAACTGAAACAGAGCTCGAAATAGATTATGTCGTCGTAGCATATCACACAGTCGCCCGGGCTTCCCTCCTTCTTTTACAAAGTTGCAGTGAGTCGGCTAACTCTCCACTCCATTTTTGTTTCCTGTACACGAAATTTGACATAGAACTAACAGGGCAGTACAAATGATATTAAGTGAAAGTTGGTGTTTACGCCTTTAATTGAAAGAGTCGATCTTCTGCTCTCTTTCTCAAGAAGAAATACCCATTAAAAATTCAACTGTCAGATTACCAAAGATGATGCTGTGGAGATGTTCTTAATGATGATATCAGCATTATCAGATGTTTTTAACAATGGATCTTTCTTTGCGGAGATTTCATTAGTTGAGAATTCCAGATTACTGGCGGTCGATTACGTTTTATTACAAACCAGTTGGGCTATGCACGCTAACGCGCGCGTCTCATTAATCAATCAATCAACTCATCTGGATACGCAGTGCAGCGCTTATGTGGTCAAAAGCAGCACTCGACATAGAAGTTACTTTAATGACTGGCTCACAGAACTTTACTCCGTGAGAAGGTAAAAGGAGCTCATTCCAACGCTGCTAACACTTGGATGTGCTCACCATCTTTTACCAAAGTCTATTGAATAAGGCCTAGAGAGTCTTTATACCTCAAGGATAAGTGGCTGTATCAATGGAACTTTTTCTCTGAGGAT